AAACTTTTCCTCTGCGATCGGGAACAAGACAGGGATGCACACTCTCCGCACTGTTATTCAACATAGTACTGGAGGTCCTAGCCATGGCAATTAGACAAAACAAAGAAATACAGGAATCCAGACTGGTAAAGAAGAAGTCAAACTGTCACTATTTGGAGATGACATGATATTGTACATAAAAAACCCCAAAGACTCCACTCTAAAACTACTAGAACTAATATTGGAATTCAGTGAAGTTGCAGGATAGAAAATTAATACACAGAAATCAGTGGCTTTCCTATACACTAACAATGAACTAATTGAAAGTGAAATCAGGAAAACAATTCCATTCACAATTGCATCTAAAAGAATAAAATATCTAGGAATAAGCCTAACCAAGGAAGTGAAAGACCTATACCCTGAAAACTATAAGACACTCTTAAGAGAAATTAAAGAGGACACTAACAAATGGAAACTCATCCCATGCTCCTGGCTAGGAAGAATTAATATCATCAAAATGGCCATCCAGCCCAAAGCAATATACAGATTCAATGCAATCTGTATCAAATTACCAACAGCATTCTTCAACGAACTGGAACAAATAGTTCAAAAATTCATATGGAACCACCCAAGACCCCAAATAGCCAAAGCAATTCTGAGAAGGAAGAATAAAGTGGGAGGGATCTCACTCCCCAACTTCAAGCTCTACTACAAAGTCACAGTAATCAAGACAATTTGGTACTGGCACAAGAACAGAGCCACAGACCAGTGGCACAGAATAGAGACTTCAGACATCAACCCAAAAATATATGATTTAAATTAATATATGACAAAGGAGCCATGGACATACAAGGGGGAAATGACAATCTCTTCAACAGATGGTGCTGGCAAAACTGGACAGCTACATGTAAGAGAATGAAACTGGATCATTGTCTAACCCCATACACAAAAGTAAATTTGAAATGGATCAAAGACCTGAATATAACTCATGAAACCATAAAACTCTTAGAAAAATACATAGGCAAAAATCTCTTGGACATAAACATTAGTGACTTCTTCATGAACATATCTCCCCAGGCAAGGGAAACAAAAGCAAAAATGAACAAGTGGGACTATATCAAACTGAAAAGCTTCTGTACACAAAGGACACCATCAATAGAACAAAAAGGTATCCTACGGTATGGGAGAATATATTCATAAATGACAGATCCAATAAAGGGTTGACATCCAAAATATATAAAGAGCTCATGTACCTCAACAAACAAAAAGCAAATAATCCAATTTAAAAATGGGCAGAGGAGCTGAACAGACAGTTCTGCAAAGAAGAAATTCAGATGGCCAACAGACACATGAAAAGATGCTCCATCTTTTCATAAGAGAAATGCAAATTAAAACCACAATGAGATATCACCTCACACCAGTAAGGATCACCACCATCCAAAAGACAAACAACAACAAATGTTGGCGAGGTTGTGGAGAAAGGGGAACCCTCCTACACTGCTGGTGGGAATGTAAATTAGTTCAACCATTGTGGAAAGCAGCATTGGAGGTTCCTCAAAAAACTAAAAATGGAAATACCATTTAATCCAGGAATCCCACTTCTAGGAATTTACCCTAAGAATGCAGCAGCCCAATTTGAAAAAGACAGATGCACCCCTATGTTTATCACAGCGCTATTTACAATAGCCAAGAAATGGAAGCAACCTAAGTGTCCATCAGTAGATGAATGGATAAAGAAGATATGGTACATATACACAATGGAATATTATTCAGACATGAAAAAAAACAAATCCTACCATTTGCAACAACATGGTTGGAGCTAGAGGGTATTTTGCTCAGTGAAATAAGCCAGGTGGAGAAAGAGAGGTATCAAATGATTTCACTCATCTGCGGAGCATAAGAGCAAAACAAAACCTGAAGGAATAAAATAGCAGCAGACTCACAGAACCCAAGAATGGACTAACAGTTACCAAAGGGAAAGGGACTGGGGAGGATGGGTGGGAAGTGAAGGATAAGTGGGGGAAAGGGGAATCATGATTAGCATGTATAATATGTGTGTGGGGGCACGGGGAGGAATGTGCAACACAGAGAAGACAAGTAGTGAATATATATATATATATATATAGGCCTCTTTCTACCTGACTTGAATTGCTTCCCCACCCCACCCCCCCATATTCAAGATGATTAAGCCTAACTGTCTGGACCTGCTATTCAAAGCTTTTGGTATGACTTCTGCTTACCTCACCCACCCCACCCAGCTCCACTGCTTTTTCCCTGTGTGCTGTGATCCAGACATACTGGATTCAGTGCAGTCTGAAGGCTCCCATGACCTTGGCCAGGCTGCCACATCTTCTACTGCACAACTTCCAGAGCGGCTCTGGTCTCAGCCCACGCTTTTTCCTAACATGTTTTCACATTGTTCAAGGATGTACTGGGCATTGCCAATTGCCTCCTTAGTTCCCTTTCCCTTCCTAAGAAGACTCATGTTTCCTGGTAATTGGCTTGACCGGTGCCAACCCAGTCTCCAGCTGCAGGGGTCCTGAGTCATTTAAGCCTCAGAACCATCACATTCCTCAGTTGTCATGTTTGGTTCAGGACAGTCATGGGTCAAGAAGGTACAGAGTGTAGCTGGGGTTGCTCCTGGCCTCCTGGGAGGTGGACAAGGAAACCAGGACTCTAGGCTCTGCTGGCAGCCACGTGTACCTCCATGGGGGAAACTGGGCTCAGGACAAAGGCACACATGTGCGGAGGCTACAAGAGCCACAGTGAAAAGCAGCCATAGCCTTGATGATGTTGTGAATCCATGGATCAAACTGTAGCTGCAGCCTCCCTATTGTTGGACTTCTCAGTATGGATGTCAGTACATTTCCTTCATTGTTTGAGCTCATTTGAAATAGGTTTTCTGTCCCTTGTTAACAGATACCCTAAGAGATGCAAAGGCTCAGTTCAAGGGCCCTCCTCCTGGAATACCTCCATAAAGGCCCTCCCCTGGCTCTCCTAACTCCAGTGCCAGGGCACCTTTGCAGGGCTGCCCCTGCCCAGCTTGCTTTGTCTGCATTTGGGTTATGAGTGCCTGCGTCTGATGGCTGTGGAATCCAGCTCCAGCACACTCCTTCTCTCACCCTGTTCTTTTCTGCACATGCTCACAGCTCTCTGGCCAGCTACAACCTGCTTGGAGGGGCGGCATGGCCTGCCTGGAGCACCAGCCTGCAGTGGAAGGCTGAGGTGAATTCAGGGCAGCAAATCTCTGGAGTGGGGAGGAGCAAAGGGCCTGGGCTCAGATACCCAAAATACTTTTTTAGAGGTAAATTTCATGTAAATTTCCCAACCCATGCTGGCCAGAAAAGACTTCCCTCTCCTCTCTTCAGAACTTGCTGACCTCCAGCACCTGCTTCTCACTTCACCACATCAAAAAAATCTCTCTTACGAGCATTCCCTCTTCTAAACTCCCAACCACCAACTCTCAGAGGAACATGCATACTTGGTTGGTAGCACATTTTCACATCTATAGGCCCCTTTGCTCCTAGGAATGGTCCTGAAAGGTGGGTAGCACAGATCATGATATGTGTTTAATGAAACAGGCCTGGAGAGGTTAAGTAACATACTCTAAATACAGAGTCAGAGCCAGGAAAATAACTCAGCTTTGCTGGTGATTTGCTATCTGATAACTTAAGAACTTTTTCTAATTATTGCTGCTGCTACAATCATCAACTCTACCTCCACCACCACCACTACCTCCACCATCACCTCCCTCCCCCACCATCACTACCTCTACCATCACCTCCACCACCTCCACCACCACCTCCTTACCACTACCTCCACCACTACAACCTCCACCATCACCTTCCCCTCCCCCACCATTACTACCCCTATCATCACCTCCACCACCTCCTCTACCGTCACCTCCCCCTCCACCTCCTCACCATCACCTCCCCCTCTCCCACCATCACTACCTCCACCATCACCTCCTCACCATCACCTCCACCTCCTCCACCACCTCCACTTCCACCACGACCACCCGTACCACTCACATCACTCCCACTATACAGCCAGAAGCAGCAAGGTCTGCTCCTGTGTGAGCACCACAGGTAGGGAACCTCCTCCACTCAGAAACTTGGGACTTGGGACAAGGTAGGTGGTGCATCCCTATTATAGATTAAGACCCCCAGGAGAAGACCACCATGTGTCAGGGCTCATGCACACTGCCTAGAGACCTCGGGGGACAAGGAGGGGGCTTGACCTCTGCAAACCCAAATAAGGCTGGTTTCTTATATCTTCCTCCCTCCCAGGAAGGTCTCCAAGGTCAGATTATAAGTAGACAGGAAGAGCACCGCCCTCTGGGTAGGAACCTGGGGTTTGCTGGGCAAGTCCCAGCCCCCAGATCCCTGAGATTCACCTGTAAAAGGGGCTGGCCTTTGCTCTAGGGCTGTGGGAAGATGGGCAATGTGCACAGTGCCTGCACAGCACAGGCCCTGCTGCCACTGGGGTCTGAAATGGCCTAAATCACTTCTTTTTCTTTCAAGGGTGAGAGAAACTGGCTATGAACTCTGCAGTGGACACAGAGCTTTAAAAAATAAAAATTCCCAGGCCCTGTGTGCTGCTCCCTGCCCCTGGATTCTGAACCAGCAGGTGTGGGGTGCGGTTAGGAACCTGATTCCTCTGTTCAGGCAGATGGTCGCCCTGTGGGCCTGCCTGACATCATGGAGACAGATGCCAGGAAGACAGTGTGCTGCACTAGGCCCTCGCTTGCCAGCTGCACAAAAGCTTGGTGAGTGAGCTTCCTGCTCAGCCTGCCCATTAGCGTGGCCTTCCTGTTCTTCATTTCATCAGCTGAGAAGCCGTTGCCCAAAGAAAGGGGCTTGATTAAGGTCTCCAATGAATCGACCTCAGGGCTGGAAGGAAGCCCCAGAGCACACAGGGCCTCCAGGGCAGGTGGTGTGCATGCTGTAGGCACATGTTGGCCCTGTCCCTACACCCCAGCACCCACCCCATCTGGCCGCCCACCACCATGGTCCTCTCACCCATATGCCCACGGCCACATTCAGGGCAAAATACACGGTGATGATGCTAATGTCGGTCACACTCAGATGAGGCTGTGGAGTGTGGGCGCCGCTGGTAGCGTTGTCTGCCACCATCCTGCATTAGGCACCAGCTTTGAGTGGGAGGGACTGACACCCGACCAGGTCAGAAAGTGCTTCTGCGCAATAAATTGATCATTAAACCAGGAGGACCATGGCTCTCCAGGCGGTGTGGCCACATGCAGGGAAACCACGTCAAAGTACAGCTCCATCTCTTCTGCCCCCAGGGGAGTAAGTCCTAAGCAAGGGAGTAGGGCAGAGCTGGCAGGGGGAGGTGGAGGAGCGCCTCCTTAAACTCAGGGGCGGTCTGGGAAACATACAGGCTTTAGTGGATCAAAAGGCAACCAGAATACCCCAGAAATAATGGGCTCAGTTGTGCCCATTTGGCAGCACATATACTAAAACTGGAATGATACAGAGGCTAGCATGGTCCCCACGCAAGGACAGCATGCAAATTCACTAAGGGGTCCATGTTTTTATGTTGACAGATAGTACCTGTGCTAGTGGGGGCGAGGATTTAATAATACGGGTAATTGTTGAATCACTGTGTTATATACTTGAAACCAATTTAAGGTTGTATATATCAATGATACTTCAATTTTTAAATATCACAAAAAAGAAAAAAGAAATGGCTGTTACCTAATGGGTGGCTGGACATATATTTAACTTATATAAGAAGCATGGAGGGTTGGGAGCAGATGCCTCACCTCTGGGGAGACCACTGTGATGGGCAGCCATGTCCTGTGTAGCCATCAGGCCAAGAGTGGACTGAGAGGGACTTGGGATGGTGACTCCTGCATTGTGTAGTTCACTTCCAGCCATGACAGTCCCAGTCCCAGAATATCCCCATGTTAGACAATAAAGGCCTGTCACCAAATTTTCTAGACAAGTGAAACAGGCCTACTCACTCATCTTGACCATCTGTTCAGGTCCCCTGTCTCCTCAGCACCACAGAGGGACCTAATATCTAGCAAGCACCTGCCAGGGGCTGAGGACCACACTTAGCTTTTCTGCACACTGCTCCATTTTGTTCGGAAAGCAACTACCCAGAGCAGGTGATGACACATCATATTGAAGAAATAGAGGCTGGGAGGCTGAGCCGCCTGTCATTTCACAGCCATGTACAGGGCAGAGCCAGCATTCAGCTCCAGATCTGGCCCAGATCCTCCCTGCTTGGCAGCTGTGACAGGACAGGTGCCATTGGATCCCACGGGGTCCTTCCTGCCCAAATCATCAAGTCATTGTGTGCAGCTGGGTGGGCATCTCGGCGACGTGGGCTGAGGCTATGGGAGGCACTTTGAATTTAACCAGGACACACAGCCCTCCCAGAGTGTTAATGAGTGAGCAGCTGCCATTAGGAATTCAGTGGGCTCAAAACCAAGCATGTCTGTTACTTGGTTACCTGAGACGCACAGTTTAAAGATTAATTCTCTCACACGCAGGATTAGACAGAGAGGAAAAACTAAGTCAATGCCTATAGTAAACTCAGCAGGCTCAGTCTGGTCTTTCCCCAACTACCCTAACCTTCAACCAACCAGCTTCTCAGATGGTGTTTACACCCTAAGCCATTGCCAGAAATGCATCGTGACTCAAAAGATCACTTTGTACTGGTCACAAGGACCCAACTGGATATTGTCCAGATTTATTAAACCAGCCTCCTAAAGATAAAGTAGTTGAAAAAGCAGAATTTGGCCCCTCTCCTCAGCCTGGGTCTCAGGAGGAAATAAACCACTTAGAGATAAAGCCCCCTGCCTTCTGATAAAAGTCCTGGGGACAGGAAGTCATGAGTCACTGATGGGCAGGGACAGGGAGAGGGTGGCAGCAGAGGACACAAGGGGGAAATTCCACGCCCATCTGACCCAACAGGACCACCTAACGGAGCCAACTCTCCGGGTCCAACTCACTCCAGGGCAGGAACAAGGGCACCTGCTAGCTGAGAAGCCACCCATGTCTCACCCTGTAATCTGCACCTATCCCAAGAGGAAGCCCTTATTTCATGTTTTCAGACACCACTTCTGACACCAAATATATGGGGCTTTTCTTTCCCAGACCAGCCAATTCTCCATCACTCTGGACACCAATTGGGTGTCCTACAATTCAATTCAATTCTGACACTACCCTAGTTAGCACAGAACATACAGGGTCAGGGCTCAGTCTGACAAACTTCCCCCACTTCAGATGCCAGGTGCAAGTCCCAGGCCTCTTGTACTTCTGACCAACTGTTTATAAATTGGGGGTTCCCCTCCTCAAGTGTCATAATTAATGAATGTAAGATAAATTCCAATGTAAGATAAATTCCAACCAAAATAAGCCGGTGATGAGAGGCAACGAAGGGCCAGGCAGTTATTTGAATGCAATTCCTGGGTGATATTCCTTGGTCTGAAACACAGGCCGGGGAAGTCACACCCAGCAGGGCAGGCAGCAAGTTTTTAAAGAAGGCAGAAGGAGGGAGAGCAAAGGTGTACAGTGGTATGAGGATTAGCTCACCTAGGGTATGTGGAGGTCTCTCATTGGCCTTTAGCCAAGTACTAGAAAGTTACCACTAATCCTTTAGCTTGGGGGAAGGGCTCTAGTTGGGAGGGTTATCCGATCAGGCTCTGGAATGCTGTCAGACCGGAACCTGTTGGTCTCTTTGCCTCATCTGGTGAGGCCTGAGCTTGTTCATCAGGCTCACCCCTTCCCCTGGTACCTCCAGCCTTACATTCCAGCCTTTTGGTCATAATGGGTGATGACTTGATCTGGCTACTTCCAGCTGACAAGGGGCATTGTGGGGGGTTTTAAGGCTGGTTGACGGCTGGAGGAGGCTCAGTCGGGAGGGATGAGTACTTGTGCAGCAACAGTTGATTAACTTTTATGTGTGAAATTTCTTCCATGCGCTGTTGAAGGAACTTGAAAACACATGGGGCAATTAAGAGTAAACCACAAACTGTTATAAGGGGCCTAGGAGAGGCATTAGCCAGGCCATTATAGGGGACTGAAGCCACCCATAAGGGCCGCCTTCAGGTACTCATGTTTTGTGGAGGTCTTTTTGTAGTTCTTGTAGTTTTTTTTATGCTTTGTTCTATGCATCCAGACTCATTGATATAGTAGCAGCATTCTTCCTGCAAGAAAATACAGGTTCCACCCTTTTCTGCAGTAAGCAGATCTAAGGCCCGCTGATTTTGAAGGGTTATCTGGGCAAGGGAGGTAAGTTGTCGCTGGAGGGAGATAAGGGAGGTCGAGTTTTCTCCCAAGGTTAGGCTCACTCTATCGTCTAATGCCGCCAATTAACTTGCCAGACCCTGTGAGTTGACTAAGCTATGGCCTAATGCTCCTGCCTCTGTGGCGGCTGCGGCCACTGCAGTAACTAGGCTCACTCCCATTAGCACAGGTAGAAAAACCACCCTCTTCTGTCTAGTGTTTTGATATATAGACTATTCGTCTAGTGCCTGTCTTACCTCAGGTTTGCTGTACAATGTTAGTTGGGGCAGTAGCATCACTGAAAAGCAGGGTCCTACCATGGTGCTGTTGATGCATTGGGTAAGCGTATTATTGCACCAGAAGAACCCATCCCCTTGAAGGGAGATTGGAGTGTCTGTGGTTACCCATCATCAGCATTGGTTTCCCATGGACAATTCTGAGATGGTGGAACGCTGGGTCACGTAGCAGCTCACTGGGGATGATGGTTCTTCATGCCATTTTCTGGTGGCTCTGGACCTAGGTCAAGCTTCAGGCTTAAGGCTCGTTTTCCACATTGGTACCTCGCTTAAAGGGAGGCTGCAGTCTTTTTCAGAGTTTACTGGTTGAGCCTGGAAAAAACTAATGGGAACTGCCACCACTGGGGGGCGTTGGAGGGAGGTGCAGAGGAAACAATCGGACACATTGCTTAGGATATGTGAAGCATTAAGAAACTGCACTGTTTCTCTAATGACTCCAGCCCAGGAAAGTGGTGCTCCTGCTGGTCATAGAGAGTGGGGGTAGGGGTCCGACTGAATCTTCTGTTTTAGTGCTTGTTCTGTTTTCAGAATATTACTTGATACCTGTGCCTGGGTGTTTAGAACTTCCATGAGAGTGGGATTTACAGTGGTCCATTCCCTCTTGATGTATACTGTGCCCTGTGGGGACCATTGGTAACTATCGTATAGCTTGCCCTGTACTCCTTTTTCCCAGCATGGATCCCATGGGTCACTAATGGTAATGTATAGCTTATCTTGTATTCTGAAGAACATGTTGTCGGAGACTCCTCTTGCTGTTTTTTCTACTGCATGAACTCTACATGTGTCTACTTCAGGATGACATTGCCCACACATGTTGGACTGGAAAATACATGTTTGAGAGATTTGGGGAAAGCACAGCGTAGGGTTTGAGAAAGTGTTTAAGATGTCTGTGTGTACCGGTATTTGAATTGGTGCCTGACAACCTACATGTGGGCAACTTTGGGTGCCTACTTCTCGGTTGATTCCATAAAGAGTTAGTTGGAGCTTAAACTTCCATGCAGAATAACTCTGCCTGGAGACCACTGGGCTATTCATCTGGCTGGTTGTACTTGACACGACTAACCCATAGCTTAAGAGGACCCACCTCACAAGACACCCAATCATCATGTCTGGGTACTCGTTTGAGCCTAGAAAGGTGATACCAGGAGGAATGCCCATGTAGTTTGACTGCTGAGGGCATAGTGAGGATTACTGTATAAGGCCCTGTCCAGTGGGGTTGGAGAGATTTTGACTGGAATTCTCTTAGGAGTACCTCATCTCTTAGCTGAAGGATTGCTAGGTCTCTTGGGTTGTTGGATGACGTAGGTTGGGGTAGGAGTGGTCTGCGTGTTCCCTAAGAAGATGTCTCAACAGTGCAAAGTAAGGAAGGTAGGAGGCCAAAGGAGGAGAGGTAGCGGGCAGGCCTGAGTTTAGTAAGAAGGGCCTGCCATACATCAGCTCAAATGTGCTTAGTCCAGCCTGTCCCCAGGGGGCAGCACATAGCCAAGTGAGAGCAATGGGGAGAAGATCAGGCCATGAGAGCTTTACCTATAGAGACAGCTTAGTTAGTTGGTCCTTTAAGAGATCGTTAGCCTTTTTGACCTTACCCGACCATTGGGGG